GGTTGCTCCCAGGCCACGGGTAGATGCGTCGACCTGAATTACCACTGGCTTGCGGCTATCAAAATACTGAAGAGAGCTTGGGTCTGTGATCAGTTTCTTGATCTTGCTCACTGCTGCTTGGTGCTCCGGGTTCCACTGGAACTCGCTGCTCTTCTTGGTGAGATCCCAGAGGACTGCGGACTCAGATGCAAGGTTGGGAATGAAACGGCTGAGGAACTGTACCATTCCTAGAAAGGTTTGTAGATCGGCAAGGCTTCTAGATGGATCCATGTTAGAAATCGCTTCTGCTTCCTTGGGGTCCAACTTCAGGCCTTCGTTAGTGAGGATGTGCCCAAAAAATGGAAGCTTGTTGCAGGCTATGATGCACTTGTCGCGGTTGAAACGTATGCCAGCATTCTTTGCTCGTTCCATGACAGCTCTGAGATTTGTATCATGTTCCAGACGGGTTTTACCATGGACTACAATATCGTCTGCGATTCCTGTTACGCCAGGGAGGTCTCCAAATGTTTCATCGACCTTTCTCTGAAAAATATCCTGCGCACATATGAGTCCAAACGGTAGTCTTAAAAACAATATCTACCATGGGGGGTGTTGAAAGTAGTGTACAGGGAACTCTCCTGGTCGAGTTTAATATTCCAGTAGCCGCTGCGGGCGTCGACAATGGAAAAATATTGTGCTCCATTCAACTTCGAAAGCACTTCGTCAATGGTTGGTGTACAGTGGTGGGGCCGCTTAATGGCCTTATTTAGATCTTTGGGGTCCAAACAAAGCCTAAGTGACCCGTTGGGTTTAGTCACACATACAAGCGAGTTCACCCAATTGGTAGGTTCTGATACCTTCACAATGATGCCTTGCGACTCTAAGGAATCAAGTTCCTTCTTAAGTGGTTCACGGAGTGCTTCGGGGACCCTGCGTGGTGGGTGTATAACCGGTGGTACAGAAGGATCTAATGTTATGTGAAACTCACCATTAAAACATCCAATCCCATTAAACACGTCACCATACTCATAAAGTATGTCTTTCTTAGCTTTGAGATCACCATTAGATGTTGACATTGGTGGTTTGGCTGTATCAAGATCAATACTATAGTGCAAGGTTACCAAGTTCATGCTTCTACAAGTTGGTAGCCCTATGATGGTCATGCCACTAGTATTGACTACATGGAAGGGGTACTCGGTAGTGTTCCCATTGTGTGTTAGGTGTAATTTGCAAATGCCATAATGTTCAATTTTATGATAACCAAATGCAGTAATTCTGGTATTAGATGGTATTAGACCAGAAGGTTTGCCATTCAAATTGTAATGTGAGTTAGGGTAAAGTTGTTTATACATATCAAGAGGTAACACATTACCTTCGGCACCAGTGTCTATCTTACAAGGCACTGACTTGGTAACTTGATCTGAACTGACATTTAGATCAACAATGGCTTGCGTATTATACTCATTCAAATTATGAATGCTAATGGAGTGAAAATATAGTTGTGGTACTACTGGGTCTGCATGATCAGGTTGTTGCTCTAGGGAGTTCACCTGCTTTTGGGGTTTTCCCTTTGGATATTGTTGGGGCTTTCCATGGTTTTTACCATGTAAAGTCAGTTGCTTCCCTGAACGACAAACCCTTCCCCAGTGGTGTAACCTGTTGCAGTTTTTACATCTTGTATTGAATGCAGGACAGAGTGAGCGACTTGATAGATCATGGCTACGTCCACAATTCCCACATACTTTCATGCTGCTTTTATCTAGGGTTTGCTGTTGCTGTTTCTTACGATTCTTATGTTCTAAGCCATGTATTGAGTTACTGGGACCCCTGATATCTGCCAACTGTGTACTTGTGGCTTCCTGTGTCCTGGCTATGTCTATAGCTTTGTCCAAGGTCAGGGTCGAATCTTGTTCTAGTAATTTGGCTTGCACATTTGAGTTATTGGAGCCAAAAATTAGAGCATCGATAAGATGTTCATCTGCATTAGAATACTTGCTCTCACTTACTAGAACTCTAACTTTCTTTAAGAATGAATCTATTGTCTCACCTTCAGCTTGTTTAAGAGTACGTAGTTTATACCTTGCTAGCCTGAAGTTGCTCTTTGGGGCGACATATTCCTCGAATTTTGTCCAATATGTATTCAATTTTTTCCTCTCCTCGTCGGATAAATCCCAAGTTGATCCTAGTTCAATTCCTTCGTCTCCTGTCCAGATGAGAAGATAGCTAATCTTTTCTTGTTCCGATTTGGATTTCAACGGACCAGAGAAGTAGAGCTCGCACACTGCTTTGAACTTTTTGAGTGCCTGTGGAAGATCGGCGGCATGCCAATCTAAACGAGGAGTTGCCAAGCCTGTGACTGCCATTTTCCGTCTGTTTTATAGTAGAATTCTCGACTACATTCACCGACCAGGTGTATTAGTGTCTCCAGAATTATTTAAACTGTTTTAAAAAAAAAAATCAGCCACACCTGACACCATGTTGTAGTTTGAATCACGTTTTATTACTGACTAACTAACTATAAAATAATACATATAACTATAAGATAACTCATGAATTTCAAGATGGCGGACGACCACCATATAAGGCATGCACTACCATATAAGGCATATACACAGGGATACCATGACAATAAATTATTATTATTATTATTACTAGATTAATAATTTGAGTAAGTGAAACCACAGTAGTGAAATTAATTAGTTTTAGTAAACGAACTGGAATGTTATCAAGACCGCTAGCCTTAGAAGTCGATAATTTATAAATTAGTCCATCTATTTGAGATGGAGTAACTTCATGTAATTCAAAAACTTCATTACATTGTGGAATGTTATAAGAGGGTGCACCAGTTGTTGGAATTTGCGCTGCTAATTTAGGTCCGATTTCAGTGAAGTGCTTATTAAAAACATTGCCAATAATTACTGGGTCATTAATTTCGATTTCATCTTGCAAGATTTATAGTTAACTAGATATTTAGCTGTTTTAAAATTGACCCAATCATTTTCATCATTAGTATAAACTGCTTTACGCTTTAATCGATCTCGTTCCCATATTAATTTCTTGATTTCTACAGAGAGCCATGGGGCACAATTTTTCCTTATTCTTCTTTGTTTGATTGGAGCATGCTTATCAGCAACATCAAGAAATAGTTTTTTCCAAATTTGCCAAGCATTTATAGGATCATCTATGGAAACTATGTACTGCCAAGGAATAGCATCAATGTCATGCTTGAATGAAGTTTCATCAAAATTTTTATAACTGCGGGATTTGATAGTTATAGGCTTAGATTTCACACTAGAGTGTTTTCTAATAGCATAAATTAAGTTATGGTCGCTGATACCTAGAACTATAACGCCCGCAGAAGTAAAGTTGTTCGGTTCATTAGTAAGAAAGAGATCGATTAGCGTGGATGACCTATTAGTAACTCTAGTTGACTCCTTAAATAAGTTGAGTATATTGATATGACTCACTTAGTTCAAGTAAATGTTTAGTATTATTATCTGCAATAGATGCACTCATGTTACAATTTAAATCACCAATGATATTATTTTCAATACCAAGGAACTCGATTTTATCTAAAATTACCTGAAGTTTGTCAAAGAGATCCTTGCAAGAATTAGGAGGTCTGTACCACGTTGATATTAGAAATGGTTTAACTTTAGGTTTACTGATCTCAACGCACAGAAACTCAAGGGCTTCATCATGAAGATCATTTCTGAGATTAAAATTAATTGAATTTCGGATATACATAGCTACACCGCCTCCGTGTCGTGTTCGATCGTTCCTAACTAAAGTATATTTATCAATTGATATTTCAGAATTACTAATAGTTTCATTAAGACCAGTATATCTAAATATTGATGTTGCATGTTTAATCTTAATTCATCGATATGCTTGGGTAAACTTGCAATGTTTAGAAAATCAATTTTGAAGCCTCTGTGTTTAGGTAAGTTGAAATCAGTTTGTTTGTGCGTATTAGAATCGCTTTATCAACATTAGAAAAGGTTTGGTTAGACATACCCTTCGCTACTAATCAATGATTAATAATATAAGAGGAGATTGATTTAGCAATAATGGCAGTACCTTTCTTGTTCAGGTGGAGTCCTTTTGAATACAAAGTGACTGTAAATGTCCCTGTTCCAAGGCTTCCTTATACCTCGTTCCAGGAAAAATTATCCTCATTGCACGTCTTTGTACTCGTTCTAAATCGTCGGACACATATGTAGGAAGACTTGAATGAAAAACTTCACAAGCATATTCCAGAATCGACCTGATACACGCATTATAGAAACCAATTAGATGTTTCTCATCAACACCAGCACGTCATAATTGTTTTAAAAGATACAGTCGTTTCGAAGCCTTAAGAACAACTATTCCTATATGTTTATTCCATTTTAGGTCGTCTGTTAACGTCAGGAGGTTCGCACTCTGGCAGGAATAGCTCAGACCGGAGCGCGAGGCGGAGACAGACGAGAAGAGAGTAAGGCGTGAGGATGAAGAGGAGATAAGGTTTAACAATCTTCTGGCGGAGATGGATCGAGAATTTTAAAAGCGATTCGTCGGTCTTAAAATATTATTTTTGCCAGCACAGCTCTGATTCCGTGGCCGAACGGTCCGCCTTTGGTTTCTGAACGCACTTTCTCTTTCCGGAGTAATTCGTGAACATGTTTTTTATGTGTGGTTTTTATTGTAGGAAAACTTATCTTTAAATTAAAATTTTAATACATTGAAATCGGCAGTGTAAACAATTTAAAGACAAGGCTTTTCAGATATAAACAAAGTAACAATGGCAGATCGGATAAGGAGAAGAGTAATCGACAAAGTTCAGCTTTACTTCAACTGTCGAAAAAGACGGAATGGATCTCCAGACTTTACAGGAGGACTGACCGTTCGGATGTGGTCCTGATATCTTGACGAGGAACCCTGTAGGTGATAAGAGAGCCAAGCATAGGATCAGATTCGGAAGGGGATGGATGGGAAGGGGTGCCGACATCCAGTACGTCCGCTACCACCATTTCGGGGGTATTAAGGGAATTCATGTCCTGATATTCCTGTGTAGCAGAGCACGGGTGGTCACAGCTGGTTGGAATTCCCGACGGACCGGACCCACCTTGGGAGACCCACAGGCTTTTCGTTCTGGTACTCCAGGTCGGGCGCTGTTGTGGAGGAGGAGAAGGAGGAGGACGAAACAACAATTTATAGACAAGGCTTTCCTACATACAAATAAAACAATCATCATGAACAATGAGGTCCAATTATATTTCAACTGTCCGGAGAAGATGGATCGTATCAAGAGAATGTGTAAGTATACTAACTACGAGGACATGAGTACATGACGGTCATCATCTCGACCATAGGCGAAAGAGGTTTGATAGCGAAGGATTAACACAGGATTAAATTTGGGAAAGGATGAATGGGTCGAAATGCTAAAATTCGAGGTGTGGATTACGTTTCCGGAGGTCCGAAGAGTATTATTATTTTTATTACCATTTCTGAATCTGTTGATGTGATTGACTGCTGGCTCGAAAGTCCGAAGGACAGGATTCGCCTAGGCATACCCACAAATATTGTAAATAATTGGTTTCATACCTATATGTCCTGGATGGAGTGGATGGAAGAAGAGAGAGAGATGCCGGAGGAGATGCAGGCGGAGGCTGAAATGTGGGAGGTCTTATGCGGTCAGACTGACGAAATATCGGACATGTTCGAAGGTCTCGTGGTGTAATTTTAATATATTAAAATCGGCAGAATCAAAATTTGGGGATAATATTTTTGTGTAAATAAGAAAAAAGCGGACTTCATCCGAAGGTCCTAGAACTTCGGACGCCTTATGGACTTAAGCGCTTTGTATCCATTGTTTTTACAAATCCTTTGGATTTTGAAATTGACTCTGGCTTTGCCCTACAGGCAAGGTTCTCCTCCAGAACGATTGTTTCTGGGGAAAAAATACAAAATCAACTTTGATTTACTTCACAAACAAAATTTTCTTAATATAAATAAACAATGGAAACAGTGGGCTAAGGTCCGAACGGTTTCCAATATTCAGACCATTTGTCCGAACACATCGAAAGTATGAAGAACGATGCCTTGGAGCAGGCGAAAAAGGATACAGAGAAGCGACGGAGGAAAGCGAGAAGGGAGTACAGGAAGACGCAAAGGTTCATTGAGAAAGAGGACCTCAGGAAACAGATCAAAATTAACAAGGATTTTGACAAACTGCTTAATTAAGGAGAAAAAAAAGACAGCGACCGAAAGATGGAAAAAGGAGATCAACAGCACCGCGAATCAGATCCGCAAACGCAGAAAGCAGATTGAGATCAATGCACTTTATTATTATTATTATTATTATTATTAAATTGAAACCACATTGCAGCCAGAAGCTGAATTGCGTGGATTACATATTATCACATGCACTACATATAAATATATTATTAATACAATATTATAAAACCCACCCTC